CCCCCCCCCCCCCCCCCGCCCACTCCGGGAATACGCGACAGTATAAGTAGCCACTCTGCATTGTGGAGTCAACACAGCGGATGTGGAAGGTTTCTGGTGCAAAAACAACAACCTTTTTGTGGGTTCGTATCCAGTACAGTCGGGGCTAATCCTAGCCTGCGAAAACATCCGTTTCTCCTCGCTCTTCGCCGCTGGGGACGTTTCGCGTTTCGGGTCTTCTCCCTATATAACCCTATCTAATACTCGAAAGAGGTATCTTGGTTAGGAATAAATAGATTGTGCTCGGCAACTTTTGAGCAACTTTTAGCGTTTTGAGCAACTCTTTGTAGTACCAGCAACCTAGGGCAACTTTTGCCTTCCTTGGCAACTTTTCAGCAACAAATTGATATAAAACCGATCCAAACCATGAAAGGTCGTTTCATTTCGAAGGATTTTATTAAAACTAAGGATATACAATAAAATGACAATAAAATAACACTTGCATCACGCCCACGAAATCTGGACAGCGGCTATCTGTATATCTGTAAGAGTATATTGATTACAACATAGTATTTATATTTGTCATATAACAATGGCTTTTGGCCTCTTTTAATGATTGTAAAAATATTTAATGAAAATGTTTAAATAGCAACAAACAAACAAACACGTTTTGAGTATTTATCTAAAACAAAACGACTCTAGAGCGAGCAACTTTTCTAAATTTTGGTGGCAACTTTTTGATATTTAAGCAACTTTAGAGCAATTTTTGGGTATATTGTGAAGCAACTTTTCCTGAATTTACTAGCACAATCTATTCATGCCTACCCCCTAGTCTTAAGCAACGTAACAACGGTACACACACATAACTGTGTCCTTTTATTTTAAGCACGCAACAGGAACAACACAATATTCAGCATTTTCAACAAACAAAGTAAATGATGTATGTATACTATTAGACCCTGTTTATACAGGTCTGGACACGTTTTAAAGGGACGAATTTTAAACCTGCGCAATCCTTTCACACGGAACCGTTCAAAATCTGTTACAGTACTGTTTACACGAGTCCGTAGAAATTTTGCTAGCTAGTATCAGCATTGGAATGGCTCTTTTTGGCAAAGGCGCGTAATAAGGCTCCTGGCTTTTACCGCATAAACTGTGAAAAAACTTGCACAGTTCAGGTCTTAACACCGTGAGTCAACGAAAAAGTGAGGCCGTACCGGTCAAAAAAGTTTTTCTACTCGTCCCGTGTAAATCAAAGGCAGATCCGTGTACGTTTTTGTCGTCCATTCAAAAATTTGTCCGAAACCATATAAACGGGCTTTACTAGCCTGATTGACCGGTTGAGTATTAGACAAATTTGATTTTAACAGAACTTGAAAGTGCGTTTCTTGTTGTTACAAGTAAATGAGAGCTTACCGTAAACTGCTGCATATAAGCTCTGAAGCTTCGTAGGGGTGTTAGGAGCCAGGGATTATGAACAGAGGGGCCTGTGTCCGAGGGGGATTATAACCAGAATAAAAAAAAAAGTCTTTGAAAGAATCTATAGCAGTGCTGATCAAAACACGTTTTTCTTTTTCTGTTTTTAATTCAAGCTCAGTGAAAATGACATTATGAATAGAATTCATTTTAATAAAATCGGGGGGAGGGAGGGAGGGGGGGCTAATATCCGATGGGGCTTATAAAGGATGTTTTTTTTTATTAGGGGTACCGTAGAAGGCCTATAACTGGGGAGGGTTATAAGAAGAGGGAATTATGCGCGGTAGTTTACGGTATTCGTATACAAGAAATTGAACACAGAAAAAATTATCATCATTGAGCGACCTTGAATTAAGGTTCAAATCTTACAAAGTTCCATACCGCAATTACGCATCCCAACTCAAATAGAAACAAATTTACAATGTGTAGTGGAGTGAGTATTGCTAATTATGTTGTGATCATATCATCGCATCCACCATCGTCATTTAGCGTTATCTAACCATTATAAACCGCATATCTGTGTTGACTGAATCGTAGCCGTAAAAAAGCATGTTCAATAGAAACTGAAACCAAACTACAACCAAACCAAGAATTATTCGGCTACAAATGTATGCAAAACTGCACGAATGAACTGAAACCGAACAGTAACTCGCGGACCCGCAGCGTTTGTACCACTGCTCATAAGCCATTTTTCAAAAGCACCCCATGCATTGCCTGGTAAAGTACTGTTGTTTATTTTTTGGGACTCTCTGTATAGACACCTTTTGTAACTTCATTTATCCTTGCATGTGTTTATACATGTGATAAAGATATCCACAATGATCATAGCAGTATTCATCACACATCCAGCAGGTGAATCTTTCCTTGTCTCTAGCAGATCGTTTCTCGCAATCGTGCCTCTTCAAAGCATTGTCATCAGTGAAAGATTTACCACATGATTCACATTTGTGCGGTGAATCAGAATGGTATTTTCTTTTGTGATAAAACAGTGTCTGTTTCCGGGTGAAACATTTATCACACTGAGTACACTGGAAGGGTCTTTCTCCACTATGTATCCGCAGATGGTCTTGCAGGTGAGATGATAGTCGGAAACATTTTTCACACTGAGTACATTTGAAGGGCCTTTCATTAGTATGTATTAACAAGTGTCTTTTCAAATGTGATGACCCTCTGAAACACTTGTCACACTGCGTGCATTTGTAAGGTCTTTCTCCACTGTGTATCCGCAGATGATCTTGCAAGTGAGATGAGCATCGGAAACATTTTTCACAAAGAGTACATTTGTAGGGTTTTTCTCCACTGTGTATCCGCAGATGGTCTTGCAGGTGAGATGATAGTCGGAAACATTTTTTACACTGAGCACATTTGAAGGGCCTCTCATTGGTATGTATTAGCAAGTGCCTTTTCAAATCTGTTGACCATCTGAAACACTTGTCACACTGAGTACATTTATACGGTTTTTCTCCACTGTGTATCAGCAGATGGTTTTGTAAGTGAGATGATTGTCGGAAATATTTGTTACAGTGAGTACACTTGTAGGGCCTCTCATCACTGTGTACTCTGAGGTGCTGGTTTAAGTCAGTTACTCGTTTAAAGCACTTGTTACATTGGCTACACTTGTAGGGTCTCTCATCACTGTGTACCCTGAGGTGCTGGTATAAAACTGGTGCTTGTTTAAAGCACTTGTTACATTGGCTACACTTGTAGGGCCTCTGTTCACTGTGAATTTTCATGTGCACATTTAGAGCTGACTTTGCATTAAAAGCCTTTTTACAGGTGCTGCACTTGAATGACTTTCTTCGAGTCCTCTTCTCGGCGGCCATGTCTGACATTTTAAAAGCAAGAAAAACCGATTGAAGGTTTTGGTTGAATTTTTAACAGCAACACTTTTTGTGTCGGTTCTACCGGTTGGTTGTTTGTGTTACCTGAAAAAGTGCCGCAATTTTTAAAGCTTGAAAGTCAACTATATGTGCATTCGACTAAGAGAACTAAAAAATTAATTTGTAATAGTTCCAATTAAGTATTCCTTTTCCATTATATCATTGTCTGTCAATCTATCCTGGTTAATTTTTAACTAAAATTTTCTCAGTGATTCTCATCAAATCCGATTTTCTGTTCTTATGTGTGGGTTTATCCAAAGCCTGTATCAGTGAATCAATCAGAATAAATGGAGCCTAAAAATTAAAACCACCTTTGCTGTTCCCGGCTGATTTAAGTAGCATTTTGTCGAGTTTTGCACCTGGAAGTAACACAAACTCGACAAAATGCCATTCTGATCCATTGATACAAGCTTAGGATGAAATGGCACGTAAGATCGGAGAACCACTTTCATGACAAAAAGAGGAATTTTCAGTTGAATTTAACCAGGACAAATGAATAGACAATGATATGACTCGATAAACGAAATTTACTGGAACTGTTAGATATTTTTTGACTCGATCTTCATTAGTCATGCATACGTAGTCGACTCTCCAGCTCCGATGCTCTTTTGTCGGCTACGAATGAATGAACTTTACTTAAGTGTCAGAGTATTTAGCTAGATATATAATGTATTATCATTGATCTGCAGTACAAGTCCATGCTGCCCGTGATGTAACTGTTAAAGACGTGTTTTGCTAGTAGATTAACTTAATGCGAAACACGCAATTAACAGGAGTGTTTGTTTAGGTGTCACTTTGTTACATGTAAAATTCCACGGGGTCAAAATGCAGCTCAGTCACCTTGCTCCAGTTAAATAAACAGTGTAACTCCTGGTCCTAAGTACTTATCGAAAAGGAAATGGAAGAAGCACAAAGAAGAAGAAATGGAAGAAGCACAAAACGGTTAATACTTACCGTAATTTCCTTCAGTTCCGCGAAGTCTCCCCAATGCTGATAATCGACTGAATACAAGCGTGCTGAGGTACGAGGAACGACCGATCGCAATGTGACCAGCAATAAAAACAAAATGGCGGATTTGCCCGATCCTTGTGCCCAGCCCCTTTCATCTTATATACTTGTGACGTCATTCTACAATCCTTGCAGACACAACAACAATGCCGCTGAATCGGAGGAGGCAAATCCATCAGGTATTGAAGAAGTGAATTCCCTGGCGGCTACCAGTGTATGTGAGAGTATGTTTATTGCCATTTATACCACACAAAAAATACAGCTCAACATGCGGAAAACTGGAGCCGGGTCAGGCTCTATAAAACATGAAAACATATTGTTGTCTAAGAAATAAAGCATGAACCGACACCCATTGTTCTTGATGGGGCAAAAGAAATGAACAAGCCTGAGCCTAACTTTTTTGCCGAAAACAATTTTGAAGCTAGGATTTCAAGCAAAGGAAAATCTCCTTTTTTTAATGAGTTCTGGTGAGGTGACGCAAAAACTTGAAAACCGTCTTAAACAGTGCAAAATTTCTTTTTAAATCATTGGCCACACGGTTCTTACTTCAGAGCCGGGGCGGATCCAGGAATTTTTGATTGGGGGTCCAAACTTTGGTTCAGAAAGGACTGCTGAACTTTTTTTGTGGCAAATTATAATTACTTCTCACAGAAACGACCACTCGTTTCTCAATCTGTGAACGCCAGTCATTGTTGGCGCGGGAAATACTGCTTTGCAAGCAGACGCAAACAGATCATAGACAATTACACTTTTGAATAACCCTGGAATTTAGCTTAGCGGCAAAATGCAATCGCGTGTTCCATTAAAAAAAGGTTAGCCAGTTAAAAAGTGATGTACGATCCTGTCGATTAAAGAATTTCAGTCTCAAACATGCGTCACGTCTGATTGGGCGGGGGGGGGTACAGACCTCGCGGACCAGACCCCCTCCCCCTGGATCCGCAACTGCAAAGAAGGCGCTTTGTTTAGGTGCGCTTAAGAAAAGGTCACTTTTTGTGATTAAAAATGCATATAGGCATTGAGTAGGTCGGCTTGCTTGAGGTCTCGCGATATTTAGTGCGCTTGCCGTCTCACATGTCAGAAACATTCAATGAGAGACTTGTGCAAAAAACATTTGAAGACACTAGAAAAACTCTTCACAAAGCATTATCAAAATCTTGGGACCAACATGCATCTGAGTTTCTCGTAGTTGCCTGTAAAACAAGTCCTAAAGCTTTCTGGTCAAAGAGGTTGGGGAAGCAGACCTGGAAGTCGGCGGCAAGTTATTTACTCGCTGATCTGAAGCGCAAACTAAGGTTAAGTTAAATACTTCAACTCCCAGTTCTGCAGCGTCTATGTGTCCGAAGATATGAATAACACCCCGTCTCTTGGGCTGAGCACTATCCCTGATATTGAGCTATTAATATTCAGCTGTAATGGCGTCAAAAAACAACTGCAATCTTTAAAGGATGATAAAGTGCCTGGTCCTTCTTCTCTTGTATAGAGCTAACAGTACAGCAACGAAATCCTTAACACACTGAATATTATCGCAGGATCATTTTGAAGAGAGCAATTTCTGGTTTGATATTTATTCTTTTATTAGTCTTTTATTATTCAACAAAAATAACACTTGGCGTCCTACTTGCTTTATTGAACAAATGACCGGTTTCAATAGACCAGCGAAATTTCTCATTTTATTAAAGCACTGAGGTTACGACAACTTCGAGTTAAACTGATTTGCCGGGTTGTCAAAGAGTCCAGCGATTCCCTTTTCTCAGGTGAGCGCCGACTCATTTCGCTCCAATATTCAGGAATGCTCTCGATCTCTTTACGCTTTCATTGCCTTTCGCCCGACACGTTTTGCACGGCGTTTAGTCATGCGAAACCTCCACGAAACATCCACGCAGCGCGCGAGGTAACTTTGTCCCGATATGCGATTCTAAAACTAACTCGAGACGAATTACCTGTGGAATAGGGTGTGTACGAGGGATGCCTTCTCTGTCCCCTTTATCCTCTCTTGATTCAGATTATTTTCAAAATCCTAAATTACCTTGCTGGTACAACCTAATAATCAATAAAGAAAAAAAAGCGAATAGACGAGTTGTTAAACAAAATATGTGTTTTAAGAGCCTCAAAGAACTATTTGCTGCGGAGCGACCGAAGGGAGCGAGCAGCAACATAATCAGGATTTAAAGGAAATATATAAGGGGCGACGAATTCTCGAATTCATCACTTTTTACCACAATGCATTGCATTTAACCAGAGTGCATTGCGCCACGAACAACTCAAATAAAAACACGGGGAAGTTCGGTGGGTGAGAGAGTGCATCGTTCGCTGCTCAGACTTATTAGAGTTTTCTTTGTAGCAAATTGTCTTACCAAATTTTAAGACACACAGGAGTCTTTCAGATGAGTACGATGGTTAACTTGGGGATTGGATTTCAATTCAAGAGCCTTTTTTGACTCAAGAGCCTTTTTTGCTCTTCGACTCCGCAACACGGGGGATATACAAATTCCAGCTTGCTAGAAGGTGATGTGAAAGTGAGAAAATGTCATGCAATGCTATTCTTAAGAAACTGTATGAGCCGAAAATGGATGTGATTTTGACCATTCGCTTCAAAATAACAGCGGAAATCGAGATAACAAAACATATGTTTTGTGTCCTACTTTGCAGACGAGGACGTGTATCGGCGTTTTGAAAAGCATAATTATGTTCTTTCATTCATTTATTGCCATGGAATATGCGTTTACATTGTTTTTTCACTGTTAATAGCTCGGTTAATGCGGCTGGCGATCATCTTGCCGGCGGAAGTTTCATGGAAAAGGAATAAAATGAAAGACTTTTCCTAAAGACTACGGAATCAGTCCCTGTGGTGTAGTGGTTAAGTGTAGTCGCGTCGAGTCGAAGGTGCTAGGTTCGAATCCTACTGAGTTATTTATTCCTTCTTTCTTTTTTTTCCCGTTTTTTGTGTTGTTGTTTTCTATAAATATATAGCTAAATAAATGTTACTTAATAAAGTGCAACAAACAGCAAGAAAAGTATTGTGTTTCCATGGATAAACGATCTGAATTTCTGTTATTTCCTACCATTTACTGTGGGAAAACCAGAGTTGATAACCACTTGATCATTTTCTAAACAACGTTCCCACGAGTTCTTTCTGTAGACTGATAGTAATTATTCTAGTACTTTCCAACATGTAAATAGGACATTCAATGTCATTTTTGATTCTTTTAAGTCTCTCTGCCTAACTAATGCCAGTATCAACAGAATGTGCCGCAGCATTACTATCTTTTAGATACCCTAGTATATTCCATAATTTGGGGGGAGCCATCAGATCGACCTCCAAGTGTAGTACCCAAAGTCTTGCTTAGTAGTGTTGCAAAGTTCTTAATAATGCTATTAATTGTAGTTCATAAAAAGGTGTGAAGGGGATAAATAGGGGGGGGAAATGATTACGCAACAATGCTTCGCATTTCGCGATCGAAAAAGGGCCAAAGGGAGGAAGCCAAGAAAAAAGGGGGCGGGATCTGTAAATGCAAGGTACGGAGGGCGGGAGATTTGGACCCCACCCTGTCCCCCTAGTAGGCATAAATAGATTGTGCTCGGCAACTTTTGAGCAACTTTTAGCGTTTTGAGCAACTCTTTGTAGTACCAGCAACCTAGGGCACCTGTTGCCTTCCTTGGCAACTTGTCAGCAACAAATTGATATAAAACCGATCCAAACCATAAAAGGTCATTTCATTTCGAAGGATTTTATTAAAACTGGTTTTATCAAAACTGATTTTATTAAAACTAAGGATATACAATAAAATGACGATAAATTAACACTTGCATTACGCCCACGAAATCTGGACAGCGGCTATCTGTATATCTGTAGGTAGGTACTTCATCTATGATTATTATTATGTACCTAAACATACCTATTATTATTGTACTATCTACAACATCATATATACCCC